CCGGCAGGCCCCGCCGCCATTGGCTCGAAGCCACGTCGGTCATTCGGCGAACCTCCTGGCCGGCACCTCCCCCACCGGAAGGAAAAATCACGCTGAAGGGTGGGCGGGCTTTAAGCGACCCCGCTCCAGGGAGTTACCCGTTCACGGAAAGGGGTACCTCCCACCGCAACCTTTGGGGTCCTGGGGTGGGAGGGAGCGGTCTCTGCTCTGGGCTTTAGTTCTCCAGTTCGTACAGACCGGCTGGGGTGCATCAGAGGGGAAATGGAGGCAGCACCGGTGTGTTGACACAAGACTCGGGCCCCCTGTAGGGAGAACCCCCTCAATGTTGGGCTTTCCCTCCAAAAACTGCAAGTGCTGACCCAGTCCCGTCTGGGGAGCTTCGCCTGCCAAGTTTTTAGGTACTAAGTGCGAATCCCATCCACTGCGACTCTGACTGTATAAAAGAACATTCTTGGCGTTAGAAGCGAAGGAAGCATGTTGTTTCAGAATAAAGGGCAGACCATCCCACGGAACAGCGACCGCCAAGCTTCGCTGACATAGGAGTGTGTATAACCTGTAAGACACCTTCTACATCGTTTCCTCGCCTATAAAACGGGGGTTTTATAGACCTACCTCCCAGAGTGTGAGAATGAAGCATGCGGAAGGAGCCTCACCCAGACCTAGCGGAGTAAGGGGGCAAATATGTCTGCTACTTCACTTAAACGCAGACATTGCTGCTGCCGTTGGGTTTCTCACATCACCTGTCAGGGAAGACAGTCCTGGAGCAGCCTGGCGCTGAACCTAGACCTGGGGACCAAACCTCGGAGATGCCCCTGGGTGACACCAGGTAAGGAGGCAGGGGTGTGGCCCTGAGACCGCCCTCAAGGGCCAGGGGTTGTGTTTGTAGACTTCAGCTCAGCTCCATCCAGGCCACACTGAGTGAAGGCCTTCCTACTCTGCACCACACACAGCTCTGGGTGGCAACTGTCAGCGTAACAGTGTCTGCCCTGCAAGAACCTAAAACCCAGTACGAGAAGAATTTCCTCAGTCAATCATTATTGATTTTAGTACTTCTTGGAGGCCTGGTGGTGCAGTGGTTAAGAGCTTGGCTGCTAACCAAAAGGCCGGCAGTTCAAATCCACCAGCCGCTCTTTGGAAACCCTATGGGGCGCTATGAGTCGGAAATCGACTCGACAGCAATGGGTTATGGTTTACAGATGTTTAAATAGAACTATAAAAAACGCAGCATTTGAAAAACAGTGAACGAAACTGGAAACAATAAAATACGGAATCATCCATCCAAGTAGCGTTGGGAAACAATCTGCTTGCGGAAACGCTGGTGGTATGCTCATGTCCTGTGAAGGCTTTCTGGTGGAGTGGGTAGTCAAGGTAACAGGTTCCTACGTTCTGGGACGAGCCAGGCACGCTGGCGGGAGAAACTCAGACAAGGGCTGATAACATCATTACCAGCTGCCCAAATTACCCACCTTAAAACCTCTGAACGGGGCTCAACATCTGTCTGAGAAGGATCCTTTTATTGTTAAATACAGTTTTTGAAACTGTTGCCTGTTTTTGGTTACTTGTTACTGGAAGCTCAGTGGGCTTCGAGCTCTTTGGAGGAGGACCACAATCTCTAACAGCAGACCTTCACTGGCCCACAGATGCCAGGTCCCAGCCTTAGTCCTGGTGCCCGGCAGGTACCCCTGTGCCAACCAGCCCTGGTCAAAGGGCAGTGAGCGTGCCTACCTTGATCTGTCCGAAGCCGATGGTGATGGTGGCAGCAGAGATGAAGCCTTTGATGACAGGGCAGGAAATGAAATCCAGCAGGAACCCTGGCCAGCCAGGAAGGAATACCGAGCTGGTCCCCAGCTCCTCCAGGTCCACGGGACACGGGGTGGATGTGGGACTGGGCAGGGTGGTGTGGGCCGGATTGGGGGACAGAGGCTGCAGCCAAGAACTTGGCAAGTGAGGCACCCTGCTTGGACTGTTTCTGGAGAGCGGGAGAGAGACTAGGGTCTGAGGCCCTGGGTACTGCTCTGAGTGTCTTGGCCTCTGAACACAGGCCAGAGCCTGCTCCGGGGCAGGGCTGGGGGCTAAGGGCACCCCTTTCCCCCCCGCAACCCGGGGACGTAGGATGCATCAGGGAGTGCTGAGGTCAAGGATATCACCAGGAGGCAGGCGCCTAGGTACCAGGAAGAGCAGACTTGAAGCCCCTCCCACCGCGGCAGGAAAGCCGAGCCTTACCCAGACGCAGGAACCCCATGGCTAGCTGGATACAGCCTGACAGAAAGGCCAGCAGCACGGCGTAGGCGGGCTCATGGAAGGTGTAGAAGGAGACCAGGAGGGACATGATGGCCGTGGGGCCCAGAGTCACATCCCGGGAGGTGCCCAGGAAGAAATACACGAAGCACCCCATGAAGGCAGAGTAGAGGCCGTACTGTGAGGGAGAGACAGCAGTGAGCAGCCAGGGGGCTTTGAGCAGCAGAGGGAGCTCCCCCCCACCAGGTGTGTCCAGTGGTGGCCCTGTTGGGACCCACCCTCTCTTATCCACGTGCGGGCCACCCTGAGTGACCAGATGCCTTTCCTCTTCTCCCACCCAACTGGGTCTTGGGTACCTGTGACCACAGAGTGGGAGGGGGTTGGTGCTGACTGTGGGGAGCGTGAGGGTCTGCGTGCTCGTGCCTGAGTCTGATAGTACGAGAGCGTGCTCTGAAGGCCACTGGGTTGTGCGGGCCCCACGTGGGCACTCAGAATAGGTCGGGGCCAGGGTGTAGGAAGCAGCCGGAAGAGGGCTGTGGACCTGCCCAAAGGAGATTCCGACTGAAAAGACTGTGAACCCCGGGGGATTGGAAACCTGGGGTGCACCTCTAGTCTGGACTTGAGTTGTGAGCCGGGAGTGGGGCCAGGCTGTCGGGAGGGAACATGCTGGCGCCAGGCAGAGCCTCACCTGGGGTGGGAGTCCGGCCACCTCGGCATAGGCCAGCGCCTGTGGAATGACCGTGAGCCCGACCGAGAGCCCCGCGATGAAGTCCATCTTCAGCCACTGCCCAGAGTAGTCGGGGAGCCAGGCCAGGATGGGCAGCCGCCTCTGCAGGGCTGCCGCCGAGCAGCAGCCCGCCTGCCCTGCCATGCCAGAGCCTGGGGACCTGGGCTTGCCCAGAGCCTGCACGGAGGAGGACATCCCTGGGGACGGAGACGCAGGCCGGCCGTCAGGAAGAGTCAGGAGGGGCCCTATGGGTCTCCCCTCCCCCAGGGGGTCCGATCCAGAAGGGTTCTTTCCTCTGGGCCGTGCTCATCTGAGAAATGAGGTCTTCAAGCTGTGTAAAGTGGTCCCACGACACAGAGGGGCCCTCGACCAAAGGCGGGTGACTGCCTTGCCCCCTCATCACGCATCCCCTGCCCAAACCCTAGTGGCCTTCCTCCCTCCCAAAAACCCCCAATAAATGATTTCTTAATAAGAAGCCTAAAGACTAATTCGGCTCACCGACTGCCTCCCAGGAGAGTATGTTTCCGTTTTTTCCCTCCTCCCCAGGGAGTTTTTTCAACAGAAATGTTACCGTGGTGAAAAATACACGCAACAAAACATACGCCATCTCAACAATTTCTGCCTGTACAATTCAGTGACACTGGTTGCATTCTTCAAGCGGTGGACCTATTCTTGCTATCCTTTTTCAAATCATTCCAGCACCGTTAACAAAACCCCAATGCTTCCCGGGAGATTTAACAGCGCGCCGCGCAGAGAAGCGGGGTCTGGCCGGCGGGGGCGGGGGTGGAGGAGTTGGGGGGCCGGAGGAGCTTCCAGGTTTTCCAAGTGCGCACAGCGCGGCGCCGCGCACTACGGCGGACTGCGGCGCTGGAGGTGGGGGGACGCTCATTCGGAAGCCTCGCTTACCCGCCCCCACCTGTAGCATTCCCATCCCCGGAGGGGCCCCAGAGGTTCTAGTAGGTTCTGGGAGAACGTCAGAGGCTCTCCATTAACTCAAGTGCAGCATCCTTTGGGGTCCTGACGCCCCCCCCACAAAAGCGGCCCCAGGCCCCAATCGCCCCAAGCAAGAGGACAGAACGCACCCCCACAGATGTCACTGCCCGCCGTCGAAGGCCGGGGAGCCCGCGCCGGCGGAGGCCCCCGGCCCAAGCAAGACCGAGGGCAGTGAAGACCCGGGTGGACACGCGATGGGGTGACCGCGGGAGGCGCCCTGGGATCCTGCGCCCCAGGATCCCGCACCCCGGAACTCTGCTCCCCGGGACCCCGCTCGCCGGGACCCTGCATCCTAGGACCCCTCGCCGGCCGCCCTCCGGACCCCTCGGTCGCCGTCAGCCCCTGGCCCGGGCCGCTCTCTGCCCCCCGGCAGCACACTCACCGGCCACCACAGCGCGGGGTCTCCTGTCCTCGCCGCAGCCGGGTCCGCAGGATCCGCAGGATCCGCAGGGGGCGGGCCCGGGGCGGGGCCAGACGGGGCGGGATCTGGATCCCGCGTGACCGGGGCGGGGCCGGGCCCAAGCCAGCCCGAGGACCTGCTGCTGCCGCCACCATGCACCGGCCCCGGCCAGCCTGTTGCACGCTGCTGCTCGTCCTGGGGCTGTGCTCAGCGCACAGGGCGCGCGGCCGGAACGTGCTGCTGATCCTCGGTGAGTGTCGCCCGCGCGAACCCGCCGCGGTCCGGCACTGCCCTCGTGTGGCCACCTCTCCTTGCCCCATAACTGGCCACTCTCCCCGTCCCCACCAATGGTCAGTGCCGACCCCGGGTGCCCTGCAACCCCCACAGTCATCCCCTCCCCCAGATCCCCTCCCTGCTGCCCCAGGCTCTACATGGCTGCCTCCTTAGAGGAGAGGCAGGGGCGCCCTCCTACTGGGCAGCAGCTGGAGGGGACTCCCAGCATCAGCACCCCCGCTCGGCCCCTGCTCTGATCCAGAGCTCCCATCCGTACCCAGAGCAGCCAGGGTGACACTGTGGGCCCCGCGCAGAAGGCTCCAGGTAACTACACACCCCAGAGGGGGAGCCATCAGGGGGCCTGGTGCCCAGGTCCCCAGAGATGGCGGGGCACCCAGGCTCCCATCTCCCCCCAGTGGTGGTAACCCCCTAATTTGCCTTCTCATTTCAGACCCCAGAGCGCTCCATGTCAGAGTGCCGTCCTTCTGGCCAAGGCCACAGCCCCCACCCCACTCACCTCCCTCAGCCCCAGCCCCCCAGAACCCCAAGTTCCTCAGCACTTGCTGCTCACAGGACTTCCGGTTTGGGTGGCGGAGCCAGCTGGTGACTGCCCAGCCCGGATTCTTTCCGGTTTTGAGGTCTGGCGCCCGGCCAGACCCAGGCTTCTGATTAGCAACCCTGACATTGTGGTCTCTGGGAGAGAGGTTCCGCCAATCGCAACACAGACAGCTCCCCACCAGCGAAGGGTTCCGGCCACGCCCCTACCGCCAGCGATGCGGGTGGGGTCCACACAAGGAGGCGTTCCTGCGTGGCCTGGGCCTGGTTCTGGATCCTCCCTGACCTGGGACATGCAGCCCTGGTTCAAATCCGTGGCCAACTGCTAAGACACCCTGCACGGGTTAGGAGAAGGGCGGCATTTCCTCCTGGGCCTGCGGCAGCCTGCTGTCCCCACAGGGTAACCCTGGCACCCCTGTCCGATTCTCCCAGAGGCTCAGGGACCAGTGGCCGGCGGGGGGAGGGTGAGCTCTGTTCAAGGACAGCTCCAGGCCCCTGTGTTGTTCTCTGAGGGAGTTGGGGCAGGGGCTGCCCCTGGGGTTCCCACTGGCTTTTTCTGGGGTGTGCTGAGCTCCTCGACTCCAGGGAAAAGGGAAGAAGCTTGGTGGATTTGCAAGAGGCCGAGACCCAGCCCCGGCTCCCCACTGCCCAGCTACGTGACCTCTCTGGGCCTCAGTTGCTTCCTGCAGGGCGAGGGGGTGGGAGCAGACAGGCTTCAGTGTCTCTTTAGCCACCAGATGGGACAGGTGCTCCAGTGGGAGGCAGTGGACGGACGCATGCTTGAGGGTGGACCCTCAGGTGGCCCTCAGCAGGGCTCTGCCGGCCAGAGGGCCTCACACGGATTATACAGGGCTCAGGATTGCTCAGGGCTGTGCTTCATCCGCTCATACAGCCACCACCTGATAACAGGCCAGCCCGTGTATCATGCCCACCAGAGCGTCATGCCTGCCAGGAGTCAGGCCCACCTGAGTATCATGCCCACCTGGGTGTCATACCCACCCGAGTGTCAGGCCTGCCAGGTACCATGCCCACCCAGGAGTCATGCCCACCTGAGTATCATGCCCACTCAGGTGTCATGCCCACCCAGGTATCATGGCTATCTGAGTAGCGTGCCCACCCAGGTACCATGCCCATCTGAGTATCATGCCCACCCGGGTGTCATGCACTCCCAGATGTCATGCCCACCTGAGTATCATGCCCACCCGGGTGTCCTGCCCTCCCAGATGTCCTGCCCTCCCAGGTGTCTTGTCCTCCCAGGTGTCTTGCCCTCCCAGATGTCATGCCCTCCCAGATGTCATGCCCACCCAGGCATCATTGACCCAAGTACCTTCCCCAGGGCCCTAGTCTCCCTCACCCCCACATGCTGCTCTCCCAGTCCCCACCTCATTCTCTCTCTCCTCACCCTCCTCAGCGGATGATGGAGGCTTTGAGAGCGGCGCATACAACAACAGCGCCATCGCCACCCCACACCTGGACGCCTTGGCCCACCGCAGCCTGATCTTCCGCAATGCCTTCACCTCCGTCAGCAGCTGCTCTCCCAGCCGGGCCAGCCTCCTCACTGGCCTGCCCCAGGTGAGGACAGGTGGAGGGCAGGAGGAGGAGGGGGAGGGCCCCTGACGCAGGGGAATGGGAGACAGGACCCGGGCCCAGGCCTGTGCGTGAGTTGCCCCTCCCTGATCTCCCTGGGGATGCCTCCCGCCTTCCCTCCCCACCCAGGCCCATGCCCGGCAGCACCTCAGCACAGTGTGGTCAACAGAAGCCTCAGGGTGGAAGCTCGGTGGGACCGTCAGAGTGCAAGCCAGGGAGTCCCCATGTCCACCATGGACCCTGGCTTCTCCGCTCTGTGTGGCCCTGAGCACATAACTTCCCTCCCTGAGCCTCAGTTTCTTCAGCTGTAAAACGGGTATCATTATAACACCTCCCTCGTAGGAGTGTTGACGGGCATTGAGTGAGTTAATACCATATCTCTGTAGTGCCTGGCATGCTCACTAAGTATTAACTCACGTGGGGTTTGGTTGTTTTATATGCATAAGTATTTCTTTTACGATATAAAGAAACTAGTTAGTAAAAGGGGCCTGGTACCGTGTTTTTGACCCTACAACGTGTGATCGTGATAGAAAACTTAGCACAAATGAGCGAAAAGAAAGTAAAGGCGCCTATGACTGTAGCGGACACCTTTCTGCTCTGTGCTCTCTGCTGCTGATGACTTCCTTTCATGGGAAGGACCTGGGGGCTGTCGGGCAAGGAGCTGGGAGGCCAAGACAATCTCCTAAAGTCGAATCAGGGAGCCAGGGAAGGCCCCTTCTCTGCTGAGCCGTGGGGAGGGCAGGACGAGGTGGGCAGGGCCTCACAGAGCGAGCCTGTGCCACAGCACCAGCAGGGCATGTACGGCCTGCACCAGGACGTCCATCACTTCAACTCCTTCGACAAGGTGCGAAGCCTGCCGCTGCTGCTCAGCCGGGCCGGCGTTCACACGGGTGAGGCGCTCTGGGACCTGAGGACGGGCAGCCCCTCCCCACCCCCACTGAGGCCAGGCCAGGCCCTGGCCGGGGGTGCCTTGTCCTGACGTCACCTGCTCTGAGCACCTGGCTGGGCTGAGGGTCCATGAGAACCAGGCACCTGGATGCCTTAGGGTGGCCGGAGCCGGGCCTAGGATCTGGTGGTGGAGGAGGGAAGCGGGAGGCTGAAGGGCACCCTGGACAGGCTCTCTGCCCGCCCTGCCCCAGGCATCATTGGGAAAAAGCACGTGGGGCCCGAGGCAGTGTACCCGTTTGACTTCGCCTACACGGAGGAGAACAGCTCTGTCCTCCAAGTGGGCCGGAACATCACCAGGATGAAGCTGCTGGTCCGGAAATTCCTGAAGTCACAGGACCACAGGTGGGTCGGCCCTGCCCCCTCACTCACACATGCAGACCTGGTGCCAGGCAACCACTGACCCACAGCCACAGTCTTCAGCAGGGGCTCCTGGAGTCCCCAGAGAGCTGGAGTAGAAGGTTCCAGGTGCTCAAACTAATCTGGTCAGAGGAAGAGAGGACATGGGGCCATGGGGGTCATGGACACTTAGGATGTAGGCAAAGCTGAGAGGTGGGCTACTCCCTAAAGGATGGGGGTCCCCAGAGTAGGAGGTCAAAGCACTCATCAGCTGGGTGGTTGACCAGCTGACTTGGACCCACACCTCAGTCCCTTTCCTCCACCCGCAACCCCTTTCCTCACCTGCAGGCCCCTTTCCTCCACCCACAACACCTTTCCTCACCCCCAGCCCCCTTTCTTCCACCCCAGGCCCCTTTCCTCACCTACGGGCCCCTTTCCTCCACCCCAGGCCCCTTTCCTCCACCCCCAGCCCCCTTTCCTCCACCCCAGGCCCCTTTCCTCACCTACAGGCCCCTTTCCTCCACCCCAGCCCCCTTTCCTCCACCCCAGGCCCCTTTCCTCCACCCCAGGCCCTTTTCCTCACCTACAGGCCCCTTTCCTCCACCCCAGCCCCCTTTCCTCCATCCCAGGCCCCTTTTCTCCACCCCAGGCCCCTTTCCTCACCTACAGGCCCCTTTCCTCTATTTGCAGGCCCTTCTTCCTCTACGTTGCTTTCCATGACCCCCACCGCTGCGGACACTCACAGCCCCAGTATGGGGCCTTCTGTGAGAAGTTTGGCAATGGGGAGAGTGGCATGGGGCACATCCCAGACTGGACCCCCCAGACCTACGACCCCCAGGACGTGCAGGTAGGAGAGGCCCCATGCCGTATTCCCAAGGCCCCTGTGCCTGTGCAATCCTGGGAACCCCTGCTTACCCCCACCCCGCCCCGTGCTCACAGCCTTTGGCCCACTAACTTTATCCAGAAGAAGCCCCCTCCCTGAGCAATCCCTAAACCAGTGGCATCACTGGGGGGATGTGGACCGCACCGGGTAACACTGTCGGGGGGGTGACGCCAAAATGACTGCCTGTAAATTTCTGTGCAGTATTTTAGCAGAAATTTACTACATTTTATAAAAATATCTCTGTAGTTAGATAAAACACCAAAAAATACTTTTTATAATCCTAGCTTATGTGTATCGGTATACCTGTGAGGCTGAATCTCTATGCTAATTTACTTCCTGAACATTGTAATGGGCTCCTGTCAGAGCTGTCGTTCTAACCCAATTACGATGAAGCTGTGAATCACGTGGCTTCGTCTGCCCGTGTTGCAGGCACGCTGTTTTCTTTGCCACGCGTGTTTTTGTAGTCTATAGGTACAAGTTTGTGGCGATTAGTATTTGTGAACCTCTATCAATAACTATTTTGAGAATGAATTAGTAATTAAAAGAAAAAAAGGAGTGATGTACAAGAACTGTGATTTACAAGTAACGTCGGTACAAAAAACGTTAGTCAGGATCCTGTGTGGTCTGGTACCGGAGAAGGTCCGTGGGGGGAGGGTGACAGCAAGCCTAGTGACGTCACCTCCGGGACCCCTTTCCCCTCTGTGCTCGCGGCCCCCGCCCCAGCCTGACGTGACTTCAGCATGTGAGAAGAGCCCCTCTGAGTGAGTTGGATCCAGGTCCCGTCCCTGGGGCCGGCAGAGGGACGTGTGATAACTGAAAGGTTGTGGGTGTTCTGGGCTGATCCGTTCCCAGGGAGGAAGTGGTTTCAGGCCACAGGAAGAAGGCTGGCACCTCGTCTCCTCCCCCAGTTCCAGGCTGGGCACCCAGTCGTGTCTCCTCTCACCTTGGCCTCCCACCTACCTGCCTCCCCAGGTGCCTTACTTCATCCCAGACACCCCGGCCGCCCGAGCCGACCTGGCTGCGCAGTACACCACCATCGGCCGCATGGACCAAGGTGGGCGCCAGGAAGCTGGGTGGTAGGAGTGGATGTATTGTTCGGAGGTGGGCCACCATTCACCCCATTGTGGGGGTTGTATTTATCCATGTGGGTGCCGTTCATTCTTGGGGACCTGCAAAGGGGGTGGGCCAAGTCTCACCCTGTTAGCTTCATGGAACAGACGTGAGATCCCAGAAAGCACAGAAACCAGTATAGGGTGGTGACAGCTGCGTGGGGACTGCGCGGAAGTGCCGGCGAGAGATCAGAGTCCCTGGAGGGGAGGAGTCGGGTGGAGGCCCGCGCAAGGCCTGCTCGGGGTGGGGAGGTGGGTGAGGGACCCAGACTGGTGGGAAAGACAGTAGAGTAAGGACGACAATGGGGAGGACAACGGGATGGGAAGGATGGCAAGGTGTGGAGGATGACAGGGAGGACAGTGGGGCAGGGAGGATGGCGGGGAGGACGGTGCGGTAGGGAGGACGGTGGGGCGGGGAGGGCAATGGGGTGAGGAGGACGGTGGGGTGGGGAGACAGTGAGGAGGATGGTGGGATGGGGGGACAGTGGGGTCAGGAGGATAGTGGGGCGGGGAGGACGGTGGGGCGGGGAGGACGGTGGGGAGGACAGTAGGGAGGACGGTGGGGCAGGGAGGACGGTGGGGCGGGGAGGACGGTGGGGAGGACGGTGGGGAGGACGGTGGGGTGGGGAGGACGGTGGGGCGGGGAGGACGGTGGGGAGGACGGTGGGGAGGACAGTGGGGTGGCGAGGACGGTGGGGCAGGGGGACGGTGGGGAGGACAGTGGGGTAGGGAGGACGGTGAGGTGGGGAGGTCAACAGCATGGGAAGGATGGCAAGGTGTGGAGGATGACAGGGAGGATGGTGGGGTGAGAAGGACAGTGGGGAGGGCGGTGGGGTGGGGAGAACAGTGCGGTGGGGAGGAAGGTAGGCAGGGAGGACAGCAGGGACTTTTAAGGAGATGACAGTGCAGGGTCCCGGGACAGGAGGAAGAAGGCGTGAGCATGCAGCGCTCTGTTGCCTCCGCCACGTCCGTGCTGAGCCCTGCTTCCCCACCCGCCTGCAGGGATAGGCCTGGTGCTCCAGGAGCTGCAGGGAGCCGGTGTCCTGAATGATACCCTGGTGATCTTCACATCTGACAATGGGGTCCCCTTCCCCAGCGGCAGGACCAACCTATACTGGCCGGGCACAGCAGAGCCGTTGCTGGTGTCGTCCCCCAAGCACCCGCGCCGCTGGGGCCAGGTCAGCGAGGCCTACGTGAGCCTCCTAGGTACGGCTCTGTCTGTCTTAGCCCGGGGGGGGGGGACGGAGCTGACAGTTAACGGACCACGTGTGCACCAGACAGTGGACAGCGCTGTGCGCCCAGTATCTTCTGTGGTTTTCACACCACCTGGGCGAGGAAGGGACGGTCTTCCCCATTTCACAGGTGAAAAATATGAGGCTCAGAGAGGTGCATCAGTTGTCCTGGGTTACACAGCCTATACACGCAGAGCTAAGATCTAGCCTGGGTCCCATAGCTTGTACACACAGAGCTAGGGTCTAGCCTGGTCTCACAGCCTATACACACAGAGCTAGGGTCTAACTTGGCTGTCTTAGTCATCTAGTGCTGCTGTAACAGAAATACCACAGGTGGATAGCTTTAACAAAGAGAAATTTATTTTCTCTCAGTCCAGTAGGCTACAAGTCCAAATTCAGGGCATCAGCTCCAGGGGAAGGCTTTCTCTTCTCTGTCGGCTCTGGAGGAAGGTCCTTGTCATCAGTTTTCCCTGGGTCTGGGAGCATCGCAGTGCAGGAAGCTCAAGGTCGAAAGGACGGGCTCTGCTCCTGGCACTGCTTTCTCGGTGGTATGAGGTTCCCGTGTATTTCTGCTCACTTCTCTCTTTCATATCTCGAAAGAAATTGACTTAAGACACCATCTAATCTTTTAGACCTCATCAGTATAACTGCCACTAATCTATCTTATTAAGTCATAGTGATAGTATTTACAACACATAAGGAAATCATATCAGATTACAAAACGGTACAGTCATACATACTGGGAATCATGACCTAGCCAAGTTAACAGATATTTTGGGGGGACACAATTCCATCCATGACACTGGGTCTCATAGCTTGTACACACAGAGCTAGGGTCTGGCCTGATCTCACAGCTTGTACTCACAGAGCTAGGGTCTAGCCTGGGTCTCACAGCTTGCACACACACAGCTAGGGTCTAGCCTGGGTCTCAGAGCTTGTACATGCAGAGCTAAGGTCTAGCCTGGTCTCACAGCTTGTACTCACAGAGCTAGGGTCTAGCCTGGGTCTCACAGCTTGTACGCACAGAGGGTCTAGCCTGGGTCTCACAGCTTGTACATGCAGAGCTAGGGTCTAGCCTGGTCTCACCGCTTGTACACGCAGAGCTAGGGTCTAGCCTGGGTCTCACAGCTTGTGCATGCAGAGCTAGGGTCTAGCCTGGTCTCACCGCTTGTACACGCAGAGCTAGGGTCTAGCCTGGGTCTCACAGCTTGTGCACACAGCTAGGGTCTAGCCTGGGTCTCGCTGCCTTTTCCACTCCACCAGTGGTGCTCGAACGCTGGCCCACATCCGAGGCACCAGGAGGGCTTGTTAAATCCAGACTGCAAGCCCTACCTCAGAGGCTCTGACTGAGCAGATCCGGGGCGGGCTGAGAATCTGCATTTCTTACAAGCCCTTGGGTGAGGCTGCTGCTGTCCTGGGATGCTCTGAGAACCCCTGCACTCATTGTGGTGCCTCCCCAAGGACCCTACACCTTGAAGAAGGCCTAGGGTGTCTCTTCCCACCTGACAGATGAGCAGATGAAACTCAGAGCATGGGCAGACTGTGAGCAGCCCGGGGTGAACCCCTGGGTGGGGCACACGTGTCCTCTGTGGGCCAGGGCCCAGTCTCCCTTTGGCCCCAAAGCATAAAGCCAGGGAGCCCTGTGGTCACACCACAGAACAAGACCAGGTGAGCCTTCCCCACAGGGGGACTTCCTCACTGAAAGGCCCCTGAGGTGACCGAGTTCTCTTGTTGTATGATTAAAGGTGTCATGGTGTGTGGGTTTCCTAGGACTTCAGTAACAAAGCACCACAGACTGAATGGCTTATAAGAACAGACACGTATTGTCCCAGAGTTGTGGAAGCCAGGAGTCAGCCGTGTTGGTTCCTCCCGGGGCTCCGATCTGCTCCTCCCTCTCGCAGCTTCTGGGGGCTCCAGGCGTTCCTCGGCTGCAGCTGCAGCGTCACAGGGCGTCCTTCCTCTGTCCTCTGTCTGTTTCTTCTCTTTTATGAGGACGTCGGTCATCCTGGCCTAGGACTCATTCTGCTCTAGGATGGAGCCCTGGGGGCGCAGTGGTAAAGAGCTCGGCTGCTAACCAAAAGGTCGGCAGTATGAACCTACCAGCCGCTCCTTGGAAACACTATGGGGCAGTTCTGCTGTGTTCTGTAGGGTCGCTATGAGTCCGAATCGACTCGACAGCAGTGGGCTTGGCTTTTGTTTTCTACTCTTGGAAGACCTCATGTCAACCTAACTGGTGACGTCGTCAAAGACGTTATTTCCAAACGAGGTCACGTTCACAGGTACTAGCAGTTAGGACTTCCACGTGTCTTTTGGGGGACACAGTTCGATCTATAACCCATGGCCCAGAGAAATGGTGTGAGGAGGTGTTGGGCCCGCAGCAGAACCTCCTGTTGGGAGGCCCAGCATCTTTCCGCAGTGGCTTAGATCAGTCCTTCTGAAGGTAGGTGAGTGCCCTGGAAGGCCCTGCCATGCTGAGACGCCGCTTCCCTTCCAGATCTGACCCCCACCATCTTGGACTGGTTCTCCATTCCCTATCCCAGCTATACCATTTTCGGCTCAAAGACCGTGCAGCTCACTGGGCGGTCCCTCCTGCCGGCGCTGGAGTCAGAGCCCCCCTGGACCACCGTCTTTGGCAGCCAGAGCCTCCATGAGGTCACCATGTCCTACCCCATGCGCTCTGTGTACCACCAGAACTTCCACCTGGTGCACAACCTCAACTTCAAGATGCCCTTCCCCGTCGACCAGGACTTCTATGTCTCCCCGACGTTCCAGGACCTGCTGAACCGCACCAGGGCGGGCCAGCCCACGGGCTGGTACAAGGACCTCCATCACTACTACTACCGGGAGCGCTGGGAGCTCTATGACCGGGGCCAGGACCCCCACGAGACTCAGAACCTGGCTGCTGACCCACGCTATGCCCAGCTTCTGGAAGTGCTCAAGACCCAGCTGGCCAAGTGGCAGTGGGAGACCCACGACCCCTGGGTGTGTGCTCCTGATGGGGTCCTTGAGGAGAAGCTCTCTCCCCAGTGCCAGCCACTCCACAATGAGCTGTGAGTGTCCACGCTGGCACGTGCCCCACCCCTCCCAACACCGTCCTTTGGCCAGCAGGCCGTCTCGGCTGGTGATGGGTAGCAGAGGCAGCTCCGTGACGCTTGCCATCCTTCCTACCACTGCCTTGGGGAGCAGAGCAGAGCGTGTGCCCGGCCCCTTCCCCCTCCCCAGCGTGCTGCCACCATGTAGGGGACACCATTGTCCTTGAGTCCTTGCCATGTCCCAGCACAGGAATGCTAGGAAGGACCTGGGACGGGGCGGGGTCCTGGCCCACGACAAGGTAAGGATGCTCAGGACAAGGGAGTCTTGTTTTCTTGTTTTCTGGGAGTGAGCAGGGGACCTGCTTTGGAGCCCACAGATATTTCTGAGCCTTCACCATGAAGAGGGAAGCCTCCATGCCTTGGGGGTGGCGGGCTGGTCCCGACCGCGCTCGACATGGGAACACGGCTGCTTGATTTTAATCAGCCTCGGGACTTGAGGATGCCTCTGAAAGATACTCGGGCTTGTTTATGCTTCGTTTTGTCCCACGTCAAGTTCTTGACCCCAGTGCTGGGTTCATGCTAACCCACCAATTCACTGCAGGTCCCTAAGTGGCGACTATAATTTTATGGACAAAGCTCGCCCTTCCTTTTGAAGAGCCGAAGGATGGAAACGCCACCACCGAGAGTAGAACATTCCCACCCTCTGGCTTGGTTTAGTTCTACTTGGACAAGCACCAGTGTCTATGACACAGAAATTTCTTCTAGAATGTTCCATACCTACCCTGCCTCTACCTACCATGGAAGCTTTACTGGAAACTCGACAAGTGGAGGCTCTCTCCCTAGAGTGGGTGGGATCCCACCACCCTGCCCTCCCCATCAACTGCATGCTGGGGGTAGATGGGGAGAAGGCAGCAGGCCACAGGATTGTAAAAACTCTTTATTTTAGCAAATATATAGAATTTCATTTTCTGAACTTGGTTATGATGATACCCACCTGAACACTAGAGCCCCTTCCTTTGGTGGGCACTGCTATCAAAAGAGCATTCGGTCCATGAGGGTCCCAGGAGGTGAGGAAGAAGGCCGGGAGGTGGAAGAAGGATGCTTTGCGCCAGGAGGGCTGAGGTGCAGGAAGAATGGTTGGCACTTGCACAGAGGTGTCTGAGCCGGGTATCTCAGGATGCCCACACGGCGCTCCAGGGCCCGGGGCTGTGGCCACCAAGCCCAGACCCACTTCAGATATTATTTCCATCACTTGGAAACTGTATTTACAGGTAAGCACTCCAGTCTCTATAAACTAGAGTTACAGAGGCACTTCCCAGCCATTGGGAGCTGGGAAGAGTCAGCCAGGGTAACGGTCAGAATGGGTTTGTCCTCTGCTGCGGGCAGGGCGTGGGGCCTCGCGGGCACAGGGCTGCCGGACCACAGCTCCACAGATTTGAACAAGCCCTTTGACACGTTGAAATGTGAAATGAAGGTGCAGCCTCCGCGGAGCTGGAGCAAGCAGGCAGGCTGCAAAAAGGCAGATAGATATCCGGAGACACGCCTGGGGCTTCCTGTGCTGGGAGACGCGCCCAGAAAGGCGCACGGGTCTCTGGTCTGATGGTTCCAAACCCTGGTGAGGGTGGAGAGGGCTCACACAGACCAGTGAGCAGATGTGAGAGGCTGCCCCGTGGGAGAACAGTACCAGAGTCCGAGGTCAGACCCCAGAGGAGAGGGAGCCAGCGCCCACAGTGGGGTCTGCACTGACAGGGACACAGAGGCCCCCCTGCCCCTCCACGGGCATCAGCGGGGGCTCTGCTCTGTCCACACGATCTTCTTCTGCTCGTCCGCAATGGCCACTCGGGCACCGCTGAGCAAGGTGTCCAGGTCGCTCCAGCCGTCGGGGGCCAGGCTGCTGTACAGACAGGGTGCCTTGTCCAGGTCCCCCTCCTCCTGCCTGGCCGCCTCCAGCAGCTGCTCCTCTGATGTGCCGAGCCGCTGCAGGGCCTTCCTGCAATGGGGAGCGGGCAGGGCGGGCTTGGAGGAGCAGAGCCCAGGAAGGCGGCCACAGCTGGGCCCCAGGCCAGAGGTGCAGACACCAGAGCATGTGCCCACGCCCTGGCCACACCTCGAGGGAGAGACCACGGGACATGTCACCTGGGCCCCAAATGACATTCCCCCGATGGGGGAGGGTCTGGTTTATGACCTTCAACCCCAAGTGCCACACACGAAGGGAGGCCGTCTGGGTTTGTCCTCAGATGTAAACCGTTGTCAGCATTGCTTTGGTCCCCAGCTAGCACGGATTAGAACGCGGTAACCACATGCACTCTGGCGATGTGCAGCCCCCTAGAAGTTTCCTTGGTCGAGTTAGGGTGGTCCAGGTTTCACCCCCGCAGCTGTGCCCAGGGCTGCTTCCCGGGAGTGAGGGGAACCTTTGTCCAGGGAGCTGTGGCTAACTGCCCTGCTGGCACCTTCAGGGGCCAGAGCAGAGAGTTCCTGGGAACCAGAACAGGCCCCCAGGTCCATGGGTGGGGCCTTAGGGGTGCTCAGGGACCTGGTCCCAGGTCTGCTGCTCGGTGGCAGTAGAGGCACCCACCTGAGCCTCTTGGCTGTCTTCTCGTTGGTGGAGATGTGGAGGATGATGGGGAAAATCTCCCTGCTGTGCAGGGCGCGGACACTGGCCAGCCCCAAGTCCAGGAGGCCGTGCGTGCCCTGGGGGTGGGAGGGAGGAAGTGAGCCATGGCCTTGGGCAGGGCGGTGCGCGAAGGGAGCCCCACACCCCTAGCTGAACATGAATGGCGAGTGGGAGGGGAGTTGGGGATTCTTTAGCTGCTTTATACATGGAGCAAGGAGCATCTTAGGTTCCGTTGTTTGATTTTTCACCTGGAAATTCCAGGAATTGCAAGCCCCGGTGTGGGACTGAGGTGTGCGCCCTAGGGGTGCAGTGGTTAGGAGCTCAGCTGCGAACCAAAAAGGTCAGCAGTTTGAATACACCAGCTGCTCCTTGGAAACCCTATGAGGCAGTTCTGCTCTGTCCTATCAGGTTACTATTATGAGTCAGAATCGACTCGATGGCAGTGAGTTCGGGTTTTTTTTTTTTTTTTTTTTTTTAGTATCTTCTGTGGGCATGAGGTGGGGGTCCTGTCTGGCTGCCACCTCCCCTGGGCCCACCACTGCCTCCCTCGGTCTGTATCTGCATCAATGTGATTGTCCGCAGTTAAATCCTTCCATTGTTTGAAACTTAAAACAACCTTGCTGCGCACGCATGGGGAGCATGGTTAAAAAAAAAAACCCAAACTCAATGTTGTTGGGTCAGTTCTGACTCATGGCGACCCCATGTGCTACAGAGTGGAACTGCTCCATAGGGGTTTCTTGGCTGTAATCTTTACAGAAGCAGATCGCCAGGCCTTTCTTCCACAGTGCTTCTGGGTGGGCGCAAACCACCAACCTTTAGGTTAGTAGTCAAGTGCAAACTGTTTGTGCCACCCAGGGAGCTGAGAGTCTGGCTGCCCCCCTTAGCCAGTCATTTAACAAGTTTCGACCAAACCTCTGCGGAGGGGTAAAACTGAGGCTCAAGGCAGTTAGGAGACTCGCCCAAGCTCACGTGGGTGTCAGTGTCAGGGCAGGGCGTGGCCTCTCATGTGGCTCCCCTGAGCACAGAGCCAGAGACAGGTGGGGCTGAGCACTGAGCAGGAGGCCTTGGGAGGATGAATGTCCCCAGCCTCCTGGTCAGCCAACTGCAGCCGCTGCCCCACGTCCCATCCCACGCCACACTGGGAATGGCTTCTGCCCATCTGCCCTCACTGCCGAGCTTTGGAGAGAATCCTGCCCTCACCCCACTTCCCCCACCCCAGGGAATGAGCTCCCCAAATACAGCCTCCGTGCCTGAGCGGGCTCGGGCCCACCTTCTCCATCAGAGACTCCACAGCCTGACGGGTCACCCAGCAGCAGCTGCCGGACCCCTCTGGCTCCTGGATGATGTCCCCTCTCTGGCTCCGGGTGTTGTACTCTTCCTGGCTCAAGTATTCTGCAGGTGACAGAGCAGACGGGACGTTCCATGGCACCCTGTCTGTGCACCTTGGACCCTTGGCACAGCCCGCTCTCTCGGCTTTGTTGCCACAGCCCCAGGAGACTCGCACATAAACTCCGGGGGCCCTAAGGAGAGCGGATAACTGCCCTGCAAGGGCCTGACCCCGCCCCACACGCAGCTGGGTCACAGGTGATCACAGGTGAGAGCGTACCTGCTGGGCATTTCTCAAACCCTCTGAGGAGGCACAGCTTCTCGATCAGGATCTTCCCGACCACCCTGGGCACGACCATCACGGGCCGGGGCTGGGTGGGCCTGTGGGGGCGCACCAGGGTGTAGGGCACCAGGGTGAAGCAGCTCTCAGCCCAGAAAGACACATTGGATGAGTCTGTGGGGAGAGAGCTGTGAGCAGGGGGCACCCAGGCTGTGTCATCTCCCTCAGCCATTGTCAGGTCCCCCCACTCATCAGACCCACCACCGTCAGTCCCCCCACACTCGTCCACACCCCCCGACTGTTAACTCCCACCTATCAGACCTAGTGCCAGCCCCCCACACCCATCAGCCCCCCACTGTCAGCTCCACCTATCAGCCCCCTACCATCAGCTCTCTCCCACCCATCAATCCCTCCACCATCGGCTCTCCCCCCACCTATCAGTCCCCCCACTGTCAGCTCCCACCTGTCAGCTCCCCACCTGTCAGCGCTCACCCCACCCATCAGTCCCTCCACCATCAGCTCTCCCCCCACCTGTCAGCTCCCTCCATTGATCAGCTTCCCCCTCATTCGTCAGCCCCCTCCACTGTCCCCCCATCTTCAGCTGTCTAGCTCCCCCTCCCCCAAGTCTGTTTTGTCCACTGCAGCCCCAGCACCGAGAAGAGCATCTGCCGCGCACCGGACTCCAGCACTCGTGGCTGGTGGACATCTCACACCCTGGTCACTGTTGACTACGTGACTGTCCCCCCTTGGCCGAACAGCTCTGTGGGCCGCCCGAGCCTCTCAGCCAGCAGTTTCATTGCTGCTTCCTTGTTTGGCCCATGCGGAAAGCAACTCTTCAGGGTCTGGGAGACACTGTGCCCCCCGCCCCCCATCCTCCCGGGACACATAGTCCCCTCTTCTTTCTCCTGGGCCCCCTTACCCAGGTCTTCATTTATATTCTCTGCATGTCATTTCAGAGTACGAACCCAAGAAACTTGTCCAGAAGAAAATTAACTCTAAACTATCTTGTTGTTGTTTGCTGCCGTCCCGTCAGCCCGACTCACGGAGACCCCACGCACAATGGCACCAAATACTGCCCGGTCCCGCACTGGCCCCACCATTGGTTGTGATCCATAGGATTCTCATTGGCTGATTTTTGGAAGTCGATCGCCAGGCCTTTCTTTCTCGTCTGTCTTACTGTGGGAACTCAGCTGAAACCTGTTCAGCATCTTAGTAACACGAAAACCTCCACCAAGACAGGTGGCAGCTGTGCATGAGGTGCACTGGTCAGGAATTGAACCCAGGTCTCCCATACAGAAAGGAGAATTCTACACCGAACCCCTACTGTCCTCTCAAAACTATTTACATCACTCTAAATGCCCATCGGGCAGACTGCGCTGTGTGGTTTTACTTGGGGAGGGCCCACTCTGAGGTCTTTACTGTGACCCCTGAACTCACTCTCACCCCGCAGCTACATGGGGGGCCCACAGGTTTGTATGACATTGGGCATTTGGGTACTTTTCAAGCTCTTACTGTTCTCAAAGTTCTGCTGTCAACACAATTGTACCAATGACTTTGGGGCTGCTTTACTGGGGCAGATTATAGAAGTAGGCGGGTCTGTTTAAAGGATATTAAAGATGTGTGGCTCAACTAGGAGTCCCTAGGTGGTGCAAAGAGCTAGCATACTCAGCTACTAACCAAAAGATCGAAGGTTCAAGTCTCCCCAGAGGCACCTCGGAAGAAAGGCCTGGTGATCTACTTCTGAAAACTCAGCCACTGGAAACCCTATGGAGCACAGTTCTACTCTGACACATGTGGGGTCGCCAGGAGTCAGAGACAACTTGATGGCAACAGGTTTTGGGCACCTGGAGCTTAACTGTTACTCTTACAAATCAGATGCTGGCCCAAGAGAAGTGGCATCTCCCAGCAGTCCCCCCAGCTAGCAGCCGCCACAAAGACCCTCGCCCATGGTGGGCTGCTGACACCCCCGGCAGCCTCACCTTCCAACTTGCCAGGGTCTGACTGGCCCCCATCAAAGGACGAGCACAGAGGGCTGGCCTTGGCTTTGTCCATGCTGACAATTCGGACCAGCTTCTGGGGACCCCCAGATGACTGCTATGGGGGGGGGAGAGGGATGAGGGGGTGTTGAAGCCACTGACACAGGACCTGCCCTGCCCGCACCCCACCCCATCAGCAAACCCTGTGGGACCCCTGCTCCATCAGGCCATGCCCACTGAACATTCAGGGTGCCAAGCTCAGTGCCGGGGCAGGATACAGCGAAGACAGACAGGAGGGGTCCTGAGGCAGTCAGAGCCCCCAGCAGGGCCTCGGCAGTGAGGGCGGGCTGCAGGGGGCAGGAGGAGTGGGGTCCTCCTGGACAGTCCAGCCCAGAGAAGTATGGATTGGGGTCTGCGTCCGAGAATGAGAAGGCGCCAGACCCCAGGGAAGTAAGAGGAGCAGGCAAAGAGGGAGGAGGGAGGAGGGAGAGCCTGGGCGGAGAAACAGCTGGAGACCAGCCGAGCCGCTTCAAACACACAGGTCGGGCTGGCCTCGGGGGAGGTGCAGACCCAGGTTGGGTGGGGATGAATCACACTGGCCCCCAGCCAGTACCCAGCCCCCTGACCTGCCACTCCAGGTGGGCAAGACTTCCAGTGGAACGAGGGCAGATGGCGTGAGCTGGGGCCTGAGGTCAGGAGCGAGGAAGGCCAGGTGGGAAGGGGCAGGCCCCCCAGAGGGTGACCCTGAGTCCCAGGTGCCCCTCACCTTGCGGGCAGCTGTGCTGTGCCGTGTCATGTCCTGGATGGTGGCGATAAGCAGCTGCTGGGCCCTGCAGAGAGGACAGAGGGCTCACCCGCTGCCCGGGGCTGGACAGAGAGTCAACCAGGTGAAGGGGCCACACCGTTCAAGGCGTCGGGGGTGTGGAGGCAGAGGCAGGCACTTGTCCCTGGGTGCAAGTCCAAGGGGGCGCCAGACGAGGCGCGGAAGGACATTCCGAGGCGCCACAAACCTGAAAGGCACCTGACTAAGGCAGCTGGACAAGGGAGGGAAGGCATTTCTGCTGATGCTGATCCCTTCATCTTGAAACTGGGAGGGGCGCAACTTAGAGATTGCCCCTGGGTGCTTGAATGGGAGGGTGCGATTTAGAGATTGCCCCTGGGTGCTTGAATGGGAGGGTGCAATTTAAGAGATTGCCCCTGGGTGCTTGAATGGGAGGGTGCAATTCAGAGATGGCCCCTGGGCGCTGGAATTCTTGTTACCCTTCCTGAGCCCCTGACACCAGTGCAGAAAACCCCAAGGGGCTGGCTCCAGGCAGTGGTTCTAGACCCTGCTAGGGCAGGGAAAGGCTCTTAAAAAACACCAATGCCTCACCCTCCCCCAAGGTGTTGGTTTCATTGCTCCCAGGTGGGTCACAGGTAAAGTCTCCCAGGGGATTCTAATGAGCTTCAGGGTTGAGGTCCCCACCCTCAGAACCTTGCTACTCAAAGTGTAGTCCACGGACCAAGATATCACAGCCCCCCTACCCCCACACACTGAATCCCATCCCAGGTGACTTGGGTTTGCAACGTGGTTTGAGAAGGGCTAGGCCAGACACCCACATTCTCTGTGTACTGGAGGTCTGGACTCAAACCATAGAGGTTCCCTCAGGTCGATCTAGAACAGTGGTTCCCAACAGGGGGCGATGTTGCCCCCCATGTTGGGTGACCAGAGGCCCTGGATGGCAAACGGTGAATGCACTTGGCTGCTAACTGAAAGGTTAGAGGTTCGAGTCCACCCAGAGGTGCCTCACAAGAAAGGCCTGGCCATCTTCTTTGGAAAAATAAACCACTGAAAACCCTATGGCGCACAGTTCTCCTCTGACACATGTGGGGTTGCCATGAGTTGAAGTCGACTCAAGGGCAACTTGTTTGGGATTTTTTTTTTTTTGGTAGGATGACCAAGTGTCCTGGTTTGCCCAGAACTGAGGGGTTTCCCGGGATGTGGGACTTCCAGTGCTAAATGGAGACAGACCCAGGCAAACTCGGACAATTGGTTACCCTACCCCCAGGGGACCACGACCACATCAGGAGATGGTTTTCGTTGTCGTGACTGGGGAAGGGGGAGCTGCTGGTATCTGAGGAGTAGAGGCCAAGGATGCTGCTCAACATCCTACAATGCACGGGATGGAATGACCCAGCCCCAAACGTCCACGTGCAGAGGTTGGGAAACTCTAGAATGTTCTAGAATGCTCTAGAACCGAGGTCCATCTTCAAGAGAGACTCCAGCCTCAGCAGTGATGTTGGTGTGTGGCACGTTGGGGAGCCCCTTACGACGGCGTCTCACACACACAGCCCACCGTGAGTAGTTGGGGATGGCACCATGGGTGGTGTCCTTTATGGTGTAGGGGCTGACGCGGTGGGCGTGCCAGCGGCCGTGGCCCTGGAACAGGGTGTCGGTGATGTGCAAGACCTCGTTGCAGTGCACCTGCAGCTCCCCCTCCTCCCGGCCCTCCATGGCCAGGTTGACCCGGATGTAGAACGAGTCCCCCGAAGTGGCCACCTTGGCCTCCAGGTCTTGGACCAGCTTCTTGTACCCTGAGAAAAGAGGACATGAGCGTCAGACCCGCTCGGGACTGCAAACCCACGCCAGGGAGTTCTGGAGACCGTTCTAGAAGGTGAGGGGAAGGAGGCTTCACAGGAGGCCACTTTGGCCCTGGAGTCCTGGCACCCCTGGACGCCCCTGCAGACGTGGGTGCAACCTGGCTGAGCCCCACTCCCAGCTCTGAGGTCAGCGCTGGAAGCAGTGACAGGCGGGGGATGGCAGTTGGGTGGCTGAGGAGGTAGTGAGAGGCGGCCTCGTGGGCAGAGGGCCGGGGAAGCTGTACCCTCCATGTTGACCTTCACAGACAGGCGGCAGAAGCCGTCCACCCGCCTGAGGAGTCCGACAGCCTGCTCCAGGGTCGTGTCTTCCAGCACAGCCTTGAATGGGGGCTCCACCGTGACATAATCAACCTAAGGGCAAATCACAAGGGTCGGCCTCGTTGATGAGGATTCTGGGGAGGGAGGTCCTGGAGGCACAGTGTACCCCACAGTTGGACCAACTTGCCTGTCCCAGCTACACACGTGTCTCGGCCAAACGAAAGGCCACACGCATCAGATCTTTTGTCACAGGCTGTGTTAGGCACCTGGATGCAGGGCATCACCCTCTGCCATGCCGATGTGTCTCCTGCGTTGTCTTAAATTTATAAGCCTTGTTCTAGGAGCCCCTGGGGGGTACAAACGTGCTTGGCTGACAACAGAAAAGTCGGAGGTTCAAGTCCACCCAGAGGCACTTAGAAAGAAAGGCCTGGCGATCTAAAGTCCAAACAATCAGTCACTGAAAACCTTGTGGCGCACAGTTCTACTCTGACACACATGGGGGCGCCCTCAGTCAGAGTCGACTCCGCGGCGAATGGTTACTTGTATATTGTTCCAACAAGAAACATATTAAGATACATTTTTAACCCTGTTAGAAGGGAATTCAGCCCATTAGGATATCAGGATATCTCCCCCAACGTCATAAAAAGACTCTGTTGCCTTAACCATGGCTGATAACTGAGAATCTTGAGAGGACTTTAGAAAGGTAATGCAGGACTTCTTGTGTAGTGTGGTTTGGAGAATATGGGACCACACTTACATTAGGAGCGTGATGTGCGGATCATTTAAGACAAACCGGAACTCGACCTAGCATGTGGACAGCCCATTCCCAAACAGAAGCTGGTGGGGCTTGTGGGCTTCCCGGCCAAGGGGCACAGCCTTCCCCTTCTCTCCCAGCACCCACCTCCTCCTCCCGCCCCCTCCTGGGGCAATGGGGTGAGCCCCAGGCTTGGGGGGAATCCTGTTTGCATATTTCTTGGTATTTTTGAAAGCTTGAAATTTCATGTTTCTGTTTTTAGGTCACATCAAACTCACCCTCCCCACCCATATAATCAGTTACTAATAGTTAAGTTGTAGATTGATGTTTTCTGCAGGTTTACGTATTTTTTTGAGTAAAATGGTTTCACAAAGGCCCCTATTAAGGGGCCTTAGGGAAAGACTGGGGCCCCATGCTGCCTCCAAGCAGCCTCTTCTCCAGGTTCCACAATGGAGCCACACGGAGGGAGGGAGGCTCGGAGGCTCAGTGGTGTTAAGGGGTCCTGGGTTGGGGAAGGCTGCTGGGATCCACCCTGAGGTAGTATCCCTCTATAATGAATGCACGCTTCAGAATCGGCCCAGGAAGGAGTGCCGGGCAATTGGTAACATATCCTTGTCAAGTGGGATCTAAGGGTGCCCGGTGACCTGCCCCGCGCTGACCTCCCCAAGGCTGAGGGCTGGCCCCACTCACCATCACAATCTGGGTGCCTGGGCGCAGCGCCATCTCATCGGCCGCCGAGCTGGGCGTGACCTGGTGGATGAAGATGCCGGTTCGGTTCCCTCCGATGACGCTGATCTGCTCCAGCAGCGCGTCCCCCTGGAAGGCCAGCACTGTGATCTGGCTCAGGATCCTTCGGGCTGGCCGCCGCCGCATGGGCACGCTGCTGCTGGAAGGACAGGGGCCAGCAGTGGAGATGACCAGGGCTGAGAACGGTCAAGACAAAGGGGTAGGCATGCCCCAGGTGACCCCCACCCACCCCCTTCGCCCCAGTGTTCTGGAACTCTCTATCCCCCTGCCGTAACCCGGTCCTCAGGACTCAGTCAGCACGCCCTGGCCTGGGCTCCCCAGCCAGCCACCCAGGAGGCAAGAGACTCCTCACCTGTCTGAGACGTAGAGGCCGCCAGAGAAGGGCTTGGAGCCGTCTTCTGCCTCAGGAAGGCCTGAGGGGGAGCCGGGAGCCAACAGACTGAGCACAGGCAAGACTGCAAGGTGGGCTCAGCACGGACAACCTCAGCATCCTACCCGCCCCTGCCTAGGCACCCCAACCCGACCTGGCCCCGCATTTGCTGAGACTGAGCCTCCTCTCCGCCTCCCCTTCCTCATCGCTCAGAGCCTTTACTCCGTCTTCTCTAAAATACGGGCGCGGGGAGGGGCTCCACCCACTTTTTTAATATTTGGGTTAGTTGCCAACGTTTTGAAAGACAGGGAGATTTCACCTAAAGTCTGATTCCTGGCTTCACTTGAAAAATCTAATCTGGCACGTTTCTGGGTGAACCATGTTTCTGCAGGGCCTGCACTTCTGCACAGGTCTGTGTTTCTGCACAGGGCTGCAATTCTGCACGGGCCTGTGTTTCTGCACGGGGCTGCATTTCTGCACGGGCCTGTGTTTCTGCACAGGGCTGCAATTCTGCACGGGCCTGTGTTTCTCTGCACGGGCCTGCATTTCTGCACGGGCCTGCATTTCTGCGTGGGGCTGCATTTCTGCACAGTCTTGGCATTTCTGCGTGGCAGTGATCCCCCGTCCCTGCCAGGGGCTGCCTCCTGTGTACCCCAGGCCTGACGTGGCAGTCCTGATGTGGCAGTCCTGGGACCAGATGCTCCCAGGGTCCCCCAGCTCTACCTAGCATTTTAATATGCAACCTGAGAGGAGAATGGGGCACCCCCAGCCCAGAGAGCAACCCCCAGAAGTCTGTGGCCATGCTTCTCAGCTCGGAACTGCCCACAAGGACCGATGGTCAGCAGAGACCTCACCGCCGCCAGCTGTGGGCGGTCTTGTGCGGCTTGCAGGTAGACCCATTTGTGATGATCTTTAAAGCCAAATGGAATTGATGCATTTGAAGGCAACCCCACTAAAAGTATGTGAAAGCAAGGTAGAATCCCGACCAACAAAAATAAGAGGAGTGTGCCTTCCGCGTTCATGGTCTCAGACCAGCGAGCACATGCCTTGGGTGCCTGGGGTGGCCCCTCTCAGCTTGTCCCTGTTACAAATGATAATGTGTGGAGTCTGCAGAGGGGCAAGGTCCCCACATGACCCACAGAGCGCCTCGTCCCTGCCTCAAAGGCCGCTGTGCCCAGCGGCATGATGCGCGCGCCCCCTGGTGGCTGTGAGGGTGAATTCCAGCAGGCGCTAAGTGCCTACTGTGTGCGGGGTGGGGGTGGGGGGGGGAAGCAGGTGTGCACAGGTGGGAGAGTAAGGAGGCCGTCCGTGTGAGCCGTGGTCTTGAGGAGGAGAGGTATCCACCTCCAGGGGAGACCTCAGCAGGCAGGCACTCACCCTGCACCACGTGTCGGCCACTGAGACCCCACACCTGTCACCTCCTGAAATCAGTGGCGGCCCCAGTGTCCACAGATGGGAGCAGGGAGGGCCGGGTCAGTGTGTGAGAGTGTGTCTGTGAGTCTGTGAGTCTGCATGTGTGTGTGTGTGTGTGTGTGTGTGAGAGAGAGCATGTGAGCGTGTGTTGACAGAGTGTACAGGTTTATGAGGAAGTGTGTGAGTACAAGTGTGTTTGTGTGTATGAGAATGTGGGAAAGTGTGTGTGTAACAGAGAGAGCATGTGTGAGTGCGTGGGTAGGTGAGTGTGTCTGTGTGTGTCAGTGTGTGTACATGAGTGTCCCTGTGTGAGAGCATGTGTGAGTGCACGGGTGTCTGTGTGCCTGTGTGTGTGCATGGGTGTCTGTGTGTGTGTGTGTGTGTGTGTGAGCATGTGTGAGTGCATGGGTATGTGACAGAGCATGTGTGAGTGCGTGGGTGGGTGAGTGTGTGCTCTGTGTGTGTGCCTGTGTACATGAGTGTCCCTGTGTGAGAGCATGTGTGAGTGCGTGGGTGTGTGTGCCTGTGTGCATGTGTGTGTGTGTGTGAGAGAGCGCATGTGTGAGTGCGTGGGTGGGTGAGTGTGTGCTCTGTGTGTCAGTGTGTGTACATGAGTCTCTGTGTGAGAGCATGTGTGAGTACGTGGGTGTGTGCCTGCGTGGGTGCATGAGTGTGTGTGTGTGTGTGAGAGCATGTGTGAGTGCGTGGGTGTCTGTGTGCCTGTGTGGGTGCATGAGTGTGTGTGTGTGAGAGCATGTGCGAGTGCGTGGGTGTCTGTGTGCCTGTGCCTGTGCATGCACGTGTGCGTGAGTCTGTGTGTGTGCGCGAATGTGTCTGTCACTCTCTGAACTTGGAGCTGACTTGGACGTGGGCATGCGCACAGCTCCCTCAGCCTCCAGGTGGAGTCAGGAGGCCCCTCCGTGAGAAACGGCAGCGATGGGGCATCTGCTGGAGCACCAGCACCGAGTTTCCCCACGGAACAGGGCCGAGCAGGGGCAGGTTCCCTCCTCCCACGCACCCCTGGAGAGAGACCCGGCCATCTCGCCTGCCCCCCTGAGCTCCCTGCTCCCCACTCTGCCTGCCCTGCTCCAGGAGGTGCCAGGATCAGGGTTCGAGGTGGGTTTGCTCACCTGCCTTGTCCACGATCTCATAGTCCAGGTCCACGTCTTCCTCCTTGTCCCCTGGCGAGGCTCCCAGCTCGGCCTCCAGGATGTCTGGGAAGCTTTGGATGGCAGAAGAAGCAGCCCCCAGCTCCCTCCCAGCCCAGAGCCCGGTGGCAGAGCTGCCCATGCGACCCCCAGCCGGCCCAGTCTAGGCAGTCTCCCTCTGTGTGGGACCCTGGCACCCCGCCCTCTCTACCTTAAAGACCAGGGGTCCTCACGGAGGTCTTCTGTGGCCCGCTTGTACAGGGACCGTTGGCTGGGTGGCACAGGGCTGCTGGAGCGGAAGCTGGACATGGCGCTCAGGTCGGATGAGAGCTGAGAGGAGAGGCAGGGGGCAGAGCCGACGGCCGCGGTGATGCCGCACGAAACCTCCCAAACTCGGTGACACCCACACATATGATCAGGTCCACTCCCAGAACCCTGACCCTGGTCCACGCGATGCTGCTCACAAGCCCCCATCGTGCTCACACTCACGTACCTTCCCAAGGAGAGCAGGCCCCAGCACCTAACCGTGCGTGGGGAGGAGGCCAGAGGGAGAGAAAGGAAGAGCGTGGTGTGGCGTCACATTAACCGAGCCCCTGTCTGCGCCAGGCGCTATATTAGCTGCTCTCCACGTTTTGTATTGCCTAGTTCTTGAGATAAACCTGTGAGGTGGGTATCACTGTCTCATTAGGAGTCCCTGTGTGGTGCAGATAGTTAAGCACTCAACTGCGGAGAGGAGAGTGGTTCGGACCCACCCAGACGTGCCTCGGAAGAAAGGCCTGGCAGTCTACTTCCAAAAGGTCGCAGCCTTGAAAAACCTATGGAGCGCAGTTCTACCGTGACACACGTGAGGTCGCTGTGAATCGGAGGTAACCTGACAGCAACTGTTTTGGGTTTTTTTTTGGTTATTGTTTTGCTTCGCAGGTAAGGCAGCCAAGGCTCAGAGAGGCTAATGACTGCCCTGAGGAGTCCCCAGCTAGTGAGGGGAGGAACCAGATGTGGCGCCGCTTCCCACCTGCTACCTGCGGGGAGGGGAAGCTGCTTTCAGAACCCACACTGGCAAGGTGTACCAGCCAGAATGTGGACACGGTGTTGGGGGACACCAGGTGCGCGGCAGGTGACCCCAAATTAGTAGATCTGAATTCAGCCTTTGTCTTCACTTAACAAGTATTTCCTTAGCACCTACTATGTGCCTAGCCATTTGCTGGGGTTGGGCATACACCGGAGGACAGGTGATATCCTGGGAGGGCGGGGGGACCAACAGGCAAATACAGAAGAGTGCAGTTCAGCAAGGACACCAGGGGCGTGGGTGTCACAGCAGAGCAGGGCAGTCAGGGGGACTTCCTGGAAGAAATGGCATCTAAACTGAAAGAGCAGACAGAGGTGGCCAGGTGGAGGAGGGGGCGGGGCAGACAGAAAGAGGGGAGAGGAGATGGAGTGGGGAGGAGCGGCGCCTCAGCGTGGCCGGGTTCTAAGGTCCAGGGGAGGAGGGCAGGACAGAGGAGGCTGGAGAGGGGTGCTCTGGGATTTAGTGGGGGTCCCTGGGGGCCAATAAGAAGGTGTTATGAGCCGGTTCTGGGCACTGAGGCCCCCTCCCCACCCCACCCTGACCACCACCTCCAGAAAGAAGTCACAGTTGGACTCTGACCTGGGGGCACTGGGGAGCCATGGAAGATTCTAAAACAGGGGAGGCACCTGATCTGATCAGCCTGGGGTTTGGGTTGCTCAGGCCCTGAATGTAGTTAAGATGTGCGTGTGTGCAGAGCTCTGGAGGGGGAAATGCATAGCTTTTGGGATTCTCCATGAGGTCAGTGAGCCGGCCAGGCTCAGTGGGGACCCTGGGGGAGAAGGCTGCTGGAACATTCCAGAAAGGAAGCCCCAAAGGCCCCCCCAGCAGGTGGCAAAGGGGCACCGCCTCCCCCCACCTCTCGCCCTTTGTCCCAGGCAGTCCTGCTGCCCTACCCAGACGTCCTGGATGCCGCACCCCAGACGCTCACACCTCCTCTCTCCTTGGCCAAAGGGGGAGAACAGAAGCACAGGGACCTAGGCCCTGGAAGCTCAGTGAGCTGGCACCCCAAGACCTGCCCGTTTGCTGAGAGTGGCACCAGCCCATCCCGGCAGGGAGGAGCAGAAGGAAGTTCCCCTTAGTCCGGGGTTGACTACAGTGTGCTGACGAGGGGCCAGAGAAGCGTTACCTCCGTGGAGCTGAGGGGTCCGTGGTCACTGTCCTCCCACTGGTGGATGGCATACATCCGGACCAGCCGCTGCTTGCCCCGCGCACAGGGCTCCCGGGGCACAGCCTCCAGCTTGGCCTGCCGAGAGGGTAGAGGGTTAGTTAGCTCAGGATGCTCCCCCCGGATGCTCTCAGGTTCCTCCTTGGTCACCACCACCCGCCCCTGCCCTCGTGGGCAGGGTTTCCTCTCATGAGCACCCAGGAGAACCACCTCATCCCTGTCCCCCACCAGGGCCGCTGAAAAGAGAGGCCCGGGACCCAGCCTCACAGGAGCTGCCAGCCTGAGGAGTGGCAGCTCACTTCTTTTAGAGAATTCCGTTAGAGAAGGTTGTTCGCTGCTAGTTATAGAGACTGTATGCACGCCGCCTAGGAAATCGGGGGGCAAACAGCTGATGAGAGCAGAGAACAACATCCAACCGGAACGCCCCGGAGTCCCTGGGTGGCGCCGATGGCTAATGTGCTCGACCGCTAACCGAAAGGTTGGGGAGTTGAAGGCACCTTGGAAGAAAGGCCTGGCAATCTACTTCTGAAAAATCAGCTATTGAAAACCCGATGGAGCACAGTTCGCTCTGACACCCGTGAGGTGGCCACGAGTCGGGGTTGACTTGATGGCAACTGGTGTTTTTCATAACCCCACCACTCGGAAATAACGCTGTTAGCATTTCGGTGTCTGTCCTCCCAGTCATTCACACACGCACGCACGCATGCACGCACGCACACACGCACGCACACACATATAAAGAAGCCCCGGTGGTGAAATGGTTAAGCACTAAGCTGCTAACCACAAGGGGAGGAAAGAGCTGGTGATCTGCTCCCATAAAGATTTCCGCCTAGGAAACCCTATGGGACAGTTCTACTCTGTCACATGGGGTCGCTATGAGTCAGAATCCACTGGACAGCACCTCACAGTAACCATATATATATATGTGATCGATACATAAATATTAACACGGTGATGTGGGGAGGTGCCCAGGGCAGGGTGGTGAGGGAGGGCAGGCGGCCCCATGGGGAGAGGTCTGACTGCGACCCCCCCAGGCCCTTGGGCACCTGGAGCTGGAGGCCGTGCCCTCAGCACCATAACCGAGGTGTTACAATGATTTCAGCTCTTTGGGAACGCCCCTCCCTCTCACCCCACCTTTGTGGGTCGCCCAGCTCTTGGCTGTGGACAGTCCTGGTTTCAGGAAAGCACCGTCTGAAAAAGCAAACAGCTGCCTGCACAAAGTCACAGCCACTGTCTTCATCCACCTCCACACTTTCCAGGTTCCACAGCCTTCGCTAAGCTACCTCGCCTATGGCATGGCAATGCTGCCACACACTGACACCCAGGAGCAGACTCATCTTGCCCAGGTGGCACCGTCAATGTCTTACAACATCGTCCGCACCTGAGGTGGGATGAGCTGAGCCGCCGGCACCCTCGGTCCCACCACCCGCACCCACCGCCCGCATCCCTGCTCTGGCCATCCTCCCGCCCCGACCTCAGGCGGGGAAGCACTCACCCCGCTCTGCGAGTCGGTCTGCAGCTTGCGGAGCTGTTTGCGCAGCTCGCAGACTTCCTCCGTCAGCGCAAACAGTTTTCTGCGGAGCGAGTCCTTCTCAGTCAGCTGCTGGGAGATCTCCGCGTGCGCCCCGTCTCTCGCTGCGTATGCCTAGGAGCCAAGAGGGAGCGTGGCCCCACACTTCAGACACCTTGAAGAAGATAGGCCAGAACTGGACGGTGCCCAGCTACCTCAATGGTCGCCCTGACAGGGAGCACAACAGAGAGTCCCTGACGGAGCAGCAGAAGAGTGGGCGCAGGACTTAAATGCTAGTAAAAAGACCAGACTTAATGGTCTGACTGTGACTGGAGGAGCCCCAGAAAGCATGGCCCCCGGCCTCTCTGTCAACCCAGAACTAAAACCATTCTGCAGGCCAACTCTTCAGACAAACATTAGACTGGACTGTGGGACATAAAATGATACTCGTGAAGAAGGTGCTTCTTAGCGGAAGTAGATCCATGAGACTAAATGGGCAGCTTCTGTCTGGAGGTGAGACGAGAAGGCAGAGAGGGCCAGGAGCTGGTTGAATGGACACGGGAAATCCGGGGTGGAAAGGAGGAGTGTGCTGTCACAGTATAGGGAGAGCAATTAGGGTCACATAGCAATGTGTGTATAAATTTCTGTGTGAGAGACTAACTCGAATTGTAAACTTTCACTTACAGCACACGCACAAAAAAAAGCACAGGTCAACAAGATGAGCAAGGAGAGTCTCCGCCAAAGCAAGCGACCCCGTTCCCTTTCTGCATTTGATCTGAACTCATCCAACGTGCACCAAACGCAGATTTCACCCTGCAATGTGCAGACCTTCGCTGGTCTACAATGCGGGCAGATGTGCACCGTTGTAATAAAATCCGGTATTTGGAGCTGTGGGTACTTGAAATGGAGTCCCTGGGTGGTGTACACGGTTAACACGCTTGGCTGCTAACCAAAAGACTGGAGGTTGGGGACCACCCAGAGGCGCCTTGGAAGAAAGGCCTGGTGATCTACTTCTGAAAGAAAAACCAGCCATGGCAAACCCTGTGGAGCACAGTTCCGCTCTAACACACGTAGGGTCGCCGTGAGTCGGGGTGGACCCATGGAAACTGTACTGGTACTTGAAATGGAGGCTCTATTTCTCAGACGTCATAGCCCCGAAATAAAAGCCGGGGCCGTACACGGTGAGCACGTCAGCAGAGGATGGGGCTGGGGTCTTTCTCAAACCTTGCGTGGACCAAGGGAAAACAAACAAACAGTGGCCGTCAAGTTGCCTCGCCTCAAGGCGACCCCATGTGTGTCAGAGGAGAACTGCACTCCATAGGGTTTGCAATGGCTGGGTTTTCGAAACTAGATGGCCAGGTCTTTCTTCTGAGGTGCCTCTGGGTAGACTCCAACCTCCAACCTTTGGGTTAGCAGCCGAGTGTGTTAACCCTTTGTGCCAGCTAGGGACTCCTGACCAAGGGAAGGCACCCCGAATCGGAGACCAGCTGCCACCAAGGGCGCAGTGAGCCATGAGACTATCTCCTGGGCAGCAGCAGACACTCCCCGAGCTGAGACTCACTGGGGAGGGGTCCCTCTGTGCTCCCAGCCCCTCGACCTCTGCGGGTACCTGGTCTCGCTCCTTCTGCAGCTCGACCACCTGGCCCTGCAGGGCGTTCACCTTCTCCTTGTAGATCTCGCAGTCCACCCGGGTTTTCTGGAACTGAAGCAGCGTCTTCTCCTTCTCCTCCCAGAACTGGACAGAGGAGGAGACAGGCCAGAGAAGGTCAGCAGCTCAAAGGGTCTGGGCTGAGCGCGTAGGCTGCGGGCCACAGCGAGAGGGAGGTGGTTCTGGAGGTGAAGCACAGCCACTTCACGCTCGTTTCTTCCACGCCTGATTTCCTGCTGCATCCGCAGAGCTGCTGTGCTGATTCTATTTGAAGTCAGTCATCAAAGCGTGTATTGCCTATGTTGCGTGTGTGTTTGTGGTTTTGATGTAACGTCCTCAAATGCATGAACAATGTCCCTCTACCCTGCCTCCTCCTTCCACTTGCTCCCTTCTCCCCATTCTTCTCTCACCCTTTTTCTTTGTTTTAAATGATTTTTCAAAATTTAATTCATTGATCGTGTTGTGCAACCGTCACCAACAGCCATTTGCAGACGATCCGTGACCCCTAACAGAAGCTCTGTGCCCCTGAAGCAATGACTCCCTCCTCCCCTCGACCCAGGTAACCACGCATAAACTGTCTCTGTACATTTGCCTATTCTAGAGATTCCATCTAAATGTCTCCCCTCGCCTTTTTCTTTGTTGCTATTGTAAAAAATATATATTATATATATTTGCCAATTTAATGTTTTTTATGCATACAATTTAGTGACACCAATTAGTCATCATGTCTGCAGCCCGCCCCAATATCCGGTGCCAAATTTTCCATCACCAGAAACTCAAAATGCTTCCTAATCGGCGGCTCTGCCCCTCCCCTTCCCTCCCCGCCTCCCGCCGTAACCACTAATAAACTGGTCTTTATTTGCCTATTCTAGATATCTCATGGAGACCCTGGGTGGCGCAGACTGTTAAGCGCTCGACTGCTACCGAATGGTTGTCGGTTGGAATCACCCAGAGGTGCCTCGGAAGACAGGCCTGGCGATCTGCTTCCTAGGGAGCAGTTCTGGTCTGCACACGAGGGGTCGCCACGAGTCAGTCGACTTGACAGCTAACCACAACAGATGACGCACACGAGTGCGGTGGGACAACATCTGCCCGTCTGAGACCCACTTACTCCTCTGGCCTTTTGGATCGACTAAATCCTCAACTCCTTCCCCAGGGGCGCGACACTGAATCATCTTGGGTTTCACTCACTCATTGGCCTGATCGAATATTTTCTCACCACCCCACAAACTCAACGGCGACCTTGAGGGCATGAGCCATGAGCTGGTGCTCACTAGAGCTTTGGTGAAAGAATGAACGAGTGAACCAACGAATCAGCCAAACAAAGGTGGACTCCACGTTTCCATAAACGCAGCACCTGCCCTGACACAGGGTGCAGGCTGGGAGGGGACAGAGAAAGGAGGATGACTGTCACCTGCTTGCGCTGTCTCTCGGCAGCCGCAGCCCGAGCCCTCAGCGAGTGGATTCGATCCACCAGCTCCTGCTTGCTCTCCCGGGCCTCATCCAGGCTCTGCTCCAGAATATCCTTCTCCACCTGGGGCAAAGACAAGACAGCCCAGGGGTCAGCCAGGGACCCAGACTTCAGAAGGCTGCTCCCCGGGGAGGTGGCCCCACCATGGAGTCTGAGACTAGGGCATGTAGATGGATTTCACCTCCTTGCTGCTCATTAGACAGGAGCAGAATCCCTGGGTGGTGCAAATGGTTAAGTGCTCAGCCACTGACCAAAATGTTGACGGTTCAAGTTCACCCAGAGGCACCTCAGAAGAAAGGCCTGGCAATCTACTTCTGAAAAATCAGCCATGGAAACCCTATGGCGCACAGTTCTACTCTGCACACATGGGGTCACCATGAGTTAGAATTGACTCCACGGCTACTGGTTTGGTGTTTGGGTTTGGGCGCTACAGGCGGATGCTGGGAAGTGCCCAGAGAGCTCCCAGGGAAGGAACGGCCCGCGGAACCTACCGTACTGAATGTCAGGGACCTGAGCTTCTCGTTCTCCTCCTTCAGGCGGGTCAGCTCCTCGTCTTCTGACTCCAGGCTGCTGGCTATCGTCAGGGACTGCTCTCGAAATTCCCGCTCGCAGGAGGAGGCCACCTGGGCTCGGTGCAGCTCCTGCTTCATCAGATACAGCTGGCGGGTAGGAGGGAGAGCAAGATGACATCAGGGCCGTTTCTCCGCTGGAGCAGAGCCATGAGCCTCCCTCACCCTTCCGTCCCGGTGCTGCTGCTCTAGACTCGGAAGGAGCCCAGACCCACTAGAGGGTTTTCCAGAATGAAGAGCCCTGTTAGTTCCTCACGGGAGGAGGAAGGCATGTTACCCTTCTTTGGTAGATGAAGCATGGCAGTCCCATTACCGGGCTGGGGTCCCAGGACTAGGACAAGGTGCCCTGGGAATCAGCCCCCGCCATTTCTATCGTTAAAGTGACTGTCACCAGCAGCGGGAGTGAGTTCCTCCGGCACCCTGGCTTCTCTCTTTCCCTAGTCTGCTAAAGGCATCAGATGCGGGCATGTGGATTCATGGGCATCAGTAAGTAAACAGGAAGAGAAAGGTCACCTCCGACTGGGGCAGGAGTGCTGCGGGATGAAGGACATGTCTCGCGGACCCACCATCACGCCTGCAATGACTCCCAGTCCGCGTGCAAACTCACTGTCTCCTGCCCAGGGTGCTGTCTGTTCAGGGTGGTGGTCTGGGAAACCACCTCGCCAGACCCTGCTGCCCCCCCTCCTGCTGGAAAAGGTCCCAAGAGCCTCAGACCTCGAGCTGCTGGGCCTGGCCTCTCCTGTGCTGAGCTGGTGCCCCTGGGGCAATGGAACGAGGGTCTTTCCCTGGGAGGCAAGCCCATGGAGTCTGGATGCCAGGGCAGGGTGTGGCACCCACTCCTGGGCTCCCAGTGCGGGGAAAGGAGCTCTAGGCAGATGGAACAATGAGTGCAAAGGCACGAGCTGGAGACTCAGGGGTCAGGGACCAAAGGAGACCACCAGCCAAGCAGCCAGCACCCTCATGCTGCAGACCTTGTGGTGGCTGCCTTCTGCGGGCCCTCTGACGCCCACCTCCTCCTGCGGGCCCACCACTACCTCCTCCTGAGGGCCCTCTGACGCCCACCTCCTCCTGCGGGCCCACCACCTCCTCCTGATGGCCCCCCACCTCCGCTGCAGGCCCCCCACCTCCCCCTGCAGGCCCTCCACCTCCCCTGCGGGCCCCCCACCTCCTCCTGCAGGCCGCGGCAGCGTGTGGTGGCCAGCTCCTTCTCCTGCAGGGCGTTGCTGTAGCGCAGGGAGAGGCTGAGCAGCTCGTCCTTCAGCTTCAGCACCTCGTGGAAGTGGGCGCTGACCTCGTGCTTCATGCGGTCGTGGTCAGCCTCCAGCGCCTGCAGGCTCTCCGTGCGGGCCTCAGCCAGCCCCAGGCTCTCCTGCAGCCGCCGGCACTGCTCCTGCAGCGCTGCCTTCTGCCGCTGCTCCTGGCTCAGCTCCTCCTGCAGGCTGCCGATGGCCCCGGCTAGGCACTCGGTCAGCTTGGACGTCTCGATGAGCCCTGCGGGAACGGCCACGCCCCATCCTATTCCTCCAGGACCTTCGAGAGCCTATGCCTGACTCTCCAGCAGGACCCCCATCCCGAATCTGTCCGTCTTGTTGGGAGCTCCCGGGCCTTGACCGGACCCGGCATTTTGGCTAAAGACACAGCGTCACTTGCAACTTTAGCAGGAGTGTCCACTCCCTGCAGCAGAAGTTACCCCCAGGTGGCCTCCCCCGATTCCTGCTTAGTCAGCCCAACTCCCATTGGCTGAGACATATTAACGCCATCCTGAGAAACTGTAATAAGGAATATACATCTGTAGACTACAACTCTACACAAACCGAAAAAAAACAAACCCATTGCTGTTGAGTCGATTCCGACTCATGACAACCCTATCTGTTACAGAGTAAACTGCTCCGTAGGGTTTTCTTGGCTGTAATCTTACGGAAGCAGATTGCCAGGCCTTTCTTCTGCAGCACCACCAGGTGAGTTCAAACCACCAACCTTTTGGTTAGTAGTTAAGCACCAACCGTTTACACCACCCAGGGACCTCTGTATACCTCCACCTAACATGCAGCCTGAACAGGCCGCACGACTCCACAGACTACGATGCAAAACCAGGAAAAGAACATGTTTTTTATCCACTGTTTTGAATTCTGTGAGCCCTGCGCCTCCGAAGACCTAAATCTCAACAGCTTCTCCAGGTAAACCTAAAATTAATAAATTAACCCAAATGGCCTTATCTCCTACCAAGCAGGAGTGGGCTTTTACTCAGGTGGTGGGCAAATGCACAGAAGGCGCTTTGTGAGGCTGCAGGCTCCGCCTCAGTCTCCCCTCGCCCCCAGCAGGAGTCTCTGCTATCCTCCGTCGGACCCTCTCAGAGCCCTGGCTGGGACGCGGGGACTGGGCGGCCCCCTCGGCTCCAGCAAACGGCCGGCAAAGGAAAGGTAAGCTTCGTGGCTTTTCTAGGGGACAGATCCGCTTGCCCTGGGCCTGCGCCTCTCAAATGCAGGATTCTGCCCCAGGCCTCTTCATGGTGTGGGGTAGTTAGGGACAGAGCTTTGCTTTGGAAATGGGCTCCTTCTCCTCCTCACCCTGTCATGGTTAGCAGGGCAGGGTGTTTCGGGTTCAGAATCTTTGCCAGGAGGAAGCGAGGTCCACGTCTGGACCGGCGGCAGGCAAGGGAGACCCACCCCAAGGATACTGGGGACCAGAGGCTCCTAAGAAGCCCGTGCCCGGGGGTCCTGCCGACCGCCACCCTCATCAAAGGCCAGCTCTCACCACTGAAGTTGCTGAAGTCCACGGCGGGCTGCAGCCCGGTGACCAGCGTGTAGACGTCAGGGTTGTGGAACTTGAGGCTTTCCAAGAAGGCAATGGCCCCGTTCTTCCCACGCGTCTTCAGCAAGTCCAGCAAGTGCCCTGGGGGAAGAACAACACGCCTGCAGCCAAAGGGCGCTGGGCTGGCTTCCCCACGAGGAGACGGGCTGGGGGCGCCCTGGTGTGTTTAGGAACGGGGTGGTGAGAGCAGTTTTCTAGGATCTCTGGGAGGAGAAGACAGGGGCAGAGACTGGAGCGATGCAGCCACAAGCCTGGGGTTGCCAGAAACTAGAAGAGACAAGGAAGGATCCTCCCCTGGAGCCTTCAGGGGAGCAAGGCCCTGCCCACACCTTGATTTGGGACATCTGGACTCCAGAACTACGGCATCAACTTAGTCATTATGTTGGCAAAATCACTGGAGATCTATGTGCCCACCTTTGAGGGAAGAAATATTTTGGAATTCCTTACATGAGGTTTTTGCAAAGGGCTTGCTTTTCCTCAGAGATACTTGCCAGAGATTTTACTAGAAATACTGAGTCTGATGCCCAGGGACCCAAGCAGGGAGGGGTCCCAGCGCCATCCTCAGAGCTGCGGGCCCGGCCACAAAGGGGCTGTTTGCTGATGCCTGCGGATCTCTGTCTCTGTGTGGGGAAGCCAGCACTGTGCCTGCTGTCTCACGGTCAGCAGTATGAAGCAAACATGCCCCCCAGGCTGGAACACGGGTATGAAGCAAACATGCCCCCCAGGCTGGAACACGGGTATGAAGCAAACATGCCCCCCA